TTTATGGAGAAAGACTCTAAACTATCATACTGGTAGGGAGGTACAACCATATGGAAGTGTTGCTGGAGAATCCAGTGAAGAGAAAAGACGCAACAACTAAAATAAGAAAACGGATAGAAAGGAGATAGAAATAATATTAAAGGAGTATACCCTAAAAGCTACTCAGTTTTAAAAAAGAGTAAGTTACAAATTATTACCTGCGCTTGGGTCCCTCTGCCAGTGTTGATGGTTTTACAGTCACAAATTCTTTTTTTTTTTTTAAAGTAGCTTATCTCCCAGTGGCTAAATTAAAGACCTCCATGAACAGTTATAGGAACCTGACTGATTAGATATGGAAAAAAGTGAAACTTACGGTACACAAAGTGCTGTCAAATGCACAAAGTAAACAAACTGTAAAAAGAGAGAGATTTTTCTCTAATAGCTTTTCTTTAGTTGTATTTGGTGTTTGTGACAGTACTTTAAAGAGACTCAGGAGTGTGACTTTTTTTCTAGTTCATGGCACCCCTGTAAGTAGCGAGGGGAAAAAATTAAGAAAGAAAGAAAACCGTTAGTGTGTAGAGGGAGTAAGAGTGTGAAATATACCCAACCTGCTTCCCACAGAGGATAATTAAATGATCACTTAAAGGGATGGTGGGCCCAATCTAGTAATTTTACAGTGAGGAAGGGGTAATTCTACTGCCTAGTACTCCAACAAGTGCAGTCCCACTGCATTTGTTGTCAATGGGACGATAATTTACACAGATCTGTGACTAGAAAAGGAGGAGCCTGGGTTGTCTGAGGAGAGGCTTCTTGCAGGTGGCAATGTCTAACTTTCCCGGCATGTAGCTTTGTGGGGCATGGTGGTGCTGGTATTTTTCAGCCTACCTGTGATACTAGGTTGCCTCCTTTTGCTCTCTGCAGTAACAGCAGCCCTTGACAATTTTCACTTAGTTCAAGGGCTGAGCCCCTGCTACTTACGAGTCCATCACTGGTACCATAAGAGAAAATGGATAGCCTTTCAGCTCCCATTGGATAGAGGTTATAGATTAATAGGTTGGGAGCCCTAATGCATTGTATCGCCATCTGACCCACACACTTTAACTCTTATGCATTACAGCAAAGACATATGCATGTCTGACTGTCTAATCTACTTACCTAGGTCCCATATACTAAACCCATCGTAGTGGTACCTAAGTGTCTGAAAAGAGTGATACACAAGCAGGTTCTGTTGACCCGGTAGTAATATCTCTAGTTTTGAGATCCACTGTCTTCATTGCTGAGCATTTCTGTAATGAATTGGGCCCACTCTCTTGCTAAAAATTACACATACAAGTTCTCTTCAAATTTACAGATAAGACCTTAGATTATCAGAACTTGGGTAGGTGACAGGTAAATTTTTCAAGCATTGACTTAAATAATGAATGCTTCTATTAGCATTGATTTTTGACGCATTCAGTACCTAACCTTACAATTACTTTTTTTAAAAAATACTTGCACATTTAATTGACATATCCCTCCCATATCTTTGCTTGAAATCTTTAAGTAGAGAAACTTGCAACAGATGAGACTATCTAATTTTTTTAACTCTATTATTCTTTGTATCTGTTCTGTGATGCATGCATTCCTTATTGATTCCAGTTGGTAAAGATAAATGCTTTTCTAAAGAAGGTGTGCAATCTTATTTCAGATACTTGTTTGTTTTAATAAAAATATGTTAAATATGTGTAAAGCAGAAAGCTCATATTCAAATATTTAAGCTGTGCTTTGCCTCTTCAAACCACCGCAGAAACTTTAATTAATCCTCACAAAACATCTGAAAATATTATGTTTTACAGATGAGAAAACTAAGGACAGAAGTGATTTCTTCAAGGCATATGACAGATGCTGCCATAGGTCCTAATCTAAAGCCCATTGAAGTCAATGGAAAGGTTCCTATTGATTTCAGTGGGCTTTATATCAGGCTTTTAGAACTCAGATGTTCTAAGCTCTTAGTGTAATCTAACGATTAGGACATAGAACCGTCTCTTGCTGTTAAGGTTTGGCACAATACTTCCATTATTTGGCCACAACTTATCTCTCTCTATGACTACTATTTTCATAAAGCACCATATATGATTTGCAAAATGAGGTATTATCAATTCAAAGAACCATCAAATCAAAGCTTTAAAGGATAAAAAGAAAATGAGGAGTTGATAGATACACAGTAGTCTTCATTATTCTGTGTTATATAGATACAGCATATGATTTTTATCCTTTCCTTTAATTTCTTCACTGCTGTTCTAAGTTCTTTCATTGGCCTGTTTCTTTCTCCTTACCACCTACAGTAGAGGAAGTTGTTTAGAGCTAGCAGTCTCAGATTTTTCTTCATTTTTATATTCAAGACCCCAGAAAGCCAGGAAGCAGAGATTTTGTCGAATACAGGTGCCTCTAGCAACTAAACTTGTGTTGGTCAGCACAATATAACAGTCCCATGGTATTATCAGCCCATGGAGAGAGCACTGTCCTGAAGTCTGGAAGAGAGTACCAGTGATTGAAAGTAAAAATTATGCCTGTAATGTTGGTTTAATTTTTTTAAAAAAGGAAAAACACGAATGAGTGTTTGCATCCTGAACCCTATTTTTTTTTTTGCTCTGTTTTTTATGCTTGCCGAACAGTAGAGTCTAGAAAACATGTTAATCACTTCTTGAGGCCAGCAGTGGAGAGATGGTTAGCTACAATCAAATTAATATGTATATGGCCTGCTTGAGAAACACATACATATACCCATTTGTGGTCAATATTCCCTTTTCTTCTGTCTCTTAAAAATATATATTTTGTTTAAGAAGATTAGGTTGTAAGGGTTATTTTTCCTTCCTAATTAATTCTTCTCAAATGACAGTGCTACAGAGCATTCTCCGTGCTGAGAGCAGCACCAGCAGAGACTGGGGAGACCGCTGTAACTTCTGTCTGCCCCTCCCCAGTAAGAGGCAGGACCTTCTCTGTCAAGGTATTGGGCAACGTGGGAGAAGCATGCCTCAGCAGCCTTAAGCCATTAGAACACTTACACTATAACAAATAAACCTACAGATTGGATTACTGCAGTGTGCTGTAAATGGGGGGATATTTTAAGATTACTTGGAAACTTCAGCTAATACAGAATGCAGCTGCCCATTTGCTTAGCCAAGCTACTCAGAGCACATTACACCAGTCATCTTAAAACTGCATTGGCTTCCAGTTTGTTTCCAGATACAATCCAAGTTGTTAGCTCTTTATGGTTTGGATCATGTGTTTCCGTGAGAGGACTGCCTCTATTTTTAGGTCCTGCCATTGTATTTTAGATCAGCTGCAGCATGCCAAGAGTTATATGTCTGTAAGTTGGAGAGGGGATTCTTGGTGGGTCTTAGTTTTGGAATTCACTTCCTTCCTTGGTCAGATGGAGTTCATATCTGTTGACCTTTGGTGATATCTGAACATCCCTCTCACTATAAATGTTAGAATATAGTTGTTGTTGTTTTTGCAGGTCTAGGATTTGTTTAGTTTTACACTGGGGTGGTGTAGATTTATTTATACTTTTTTATTAAAAAAGAATAGTACATGCACCTAGAACACATTTTATAATCTCATTATATTTAATCATAGACATTAGAGATAAAAACCATCCAGTTAATCTTCCTGCCAATTCAAGATTGTTCCTCAAAGTATGTGAAGTTTTGTCACAATACTCTCTTTAGGCCCAGATGCCTGCCTCTCAAGTCTCTGAATCCCAGCTATCACATGCACAGTAACAGTGGTTCCTCATTGAGGTCCTACACTCTTACTCATGTTGAGTAGTACCTCTTTAGTGGGACTATTAATGAAATAAGGCATTACTCACAGTGGGTAAAGGTGGCAGAATCAGGCCCTGGGAGAACTAGTGCTAAAAATGGGAGGAAAACCTACCGAAATGTAAAGGCTATCACAATTGTGGACCCAAAAATGGAGACTAAATATTGAAATGACCACTTCTAAGGGAAAGGTGGACAGCGTAACCTAATCTAATTGCATACTGTTCCTTGAGTTAGAGCTGTTTGAATAACTCAAAACATTTTTATTCTCAAATTTTTACTCATAAACTTTCAAAAATCCTAAATTCCCTTCTGCTGTGTTTACACCCCTTTCTTAAACTCTGCTTTCTGTGACTGAACAAGTGAGTAAATTCACTTAGAGCAGTGTTTCTGTAAACAGCATATTTTAAGAAAAGATTGGAGAATATTTGTGGGAAATTGATTTTGAACTTTTAAACAGGAACATTCCCACCAGAAACCTGATTCTAAGAGTAATTCTCAAACACTTCTGGAACAGAGACAATACTGTGTGACTTACATGTCCAATTGAAACCAACCAACATTTCAAATTTCAGATATTGAATACTTGGAACAAACTGCTTGCAAACAATCTGCAAGCTAAGTTTTAGTCTCAAAGTATTTTGTAAATAAATATGAATAGCAACTAAAGTTGAAAAAACTGTAAGCTGCTAATGGACAGTTCATGAACCAAAAGAGAAACTAAACTATTGGCTACAAATAATTCACTTGTACAGATTATAGTAGTATAGTAGTCTTTAAAAAAAAAAATAGTTTACTCTGGTTTCACTTTGAACAAAGAAAATCAAGTGCAGTCCCATAATTTGAAGATTCTTGGGTTTACAAGAATATGAGGAAAGTGAAGAGTTAATATCCTTGCTTGACAAATGGCTGCTAGAGATTTTGCAATTCAATGTAACTGATGACCCTTTCATGATTGCGAGGGGGATTGGATCACAACTGGGGAAAGTGACAAGTGCTGTATAACTATTATTTCTTGTGTAACTGATTTGAGAGAGACTCCTACAGCAGCAAAGGGCATTGAAATCCATCATTTATAAGGGTAAACAAATTCTTTTTCTTCTGGGTTCGCTACAGTGAAGCAAAAGGAGATCTAATAAAACAATAACGCTCCAAGTGTGTGTGTGCGCGTGTGTATAAATATGTATTTAAGAAGATGTTTGCATAAAGTATTGTATACATTATGTTCAACTTCATGCCTGGGGTAAAGACTATTTGGAGGATTTCGTTTATTCTGAGTCAACCAGCAAACACTATTGTGAACTCTAGAAGAGAGGTTTAATTTGGACTTGGGTAAGAAACTCACCTAAGCATATTACCAGCTATAAAGAAAAGCTAGCTTTCTTAATCAGTACTTGACATATATGCTTGTATTTGTTTCTTGCTTCCTCTGTGTATAAAAAATGCAATTTTCTCATGTAAGCCTGTGTGCAATTTGAATTTTCTGATTTCCCTCCTATCCAGCCTATCCCCATTAATGAATGGCGGATGGACTGCTGGGGGTGGGTTTTTTTTTTTTTTTGGTTAAAGGATTACCAAAGATAGGCGCCTTACTTTTGTGGCATTAGCTCATATTTTCTGCACCTTGATAAAGCAAGTTATGTGTGTTCTGGATGTGAGTGGAAGGACAATTTGATATTCATTGTGTAAAGTGTGCTTGAAGAAATGTCCATGAATGAAACATCAACTCAGAGTTAGGTTTTATCTGACAATGTTTTCTCTTTTATTTTTTCCAGTGCATGCATCATGAATGAATCTGCCTCGAGTGCAAGTGGCCAAGAGTTTGATGTATTTAGTGTTATGGACTGGAAGGATGGCATAGGTACACTGCCAGGAAGTGACCTGAAGGTAAGATAATATGTGTTTTTAAAAGACTGTAATAAAAACTGTATAAATGCATAGGGAAGAGGGGAGAGTATGTATCATTCACTGGTCAGTGGGTGTTGTGTTCCTCTCTGTACCTGGTCCACAGAGGATATGAGTCTGTTGCAACCCTCAGCTAAAGGCTATTTAAACTGAAGCTGTAGAAACTCATGCTTTTAGCTCTAGAGGTCCCTGGTTTAATCCCTGGTGTCTGTTAAAATGGCAGCTGTCACATAGACACACAAATACACAGGATAAGCATGAGTACAACTCTTAAGCCAGAGTTCGAGTGCCCAAAAGCCAGTAAGTCTCAAAAGCTGAGGCTGAACAATCAACTTTAAAATGATACTGTCGATTTTAAATCTATTGTTGTTTGCAGTGTTGTTGTAGCTGTGTTGGTCCTAGGATGTTGGTGAGGTAATGTTTTTTGTTGGACTAACAGACCTGAAGAAGAGCTCTCCGTAGCTCGAAAGATTGTCTCTTTCACCCTCAGAGATTACCTCATCCACCTTGTCTCTCTAACTTCAAATCTAGTCAATTTTAAAAACGATGCACATAAATGGGGAAATTCACCCCAGTAGGGGTATCAAATGAATACGTCTGATTGTTAGTACATTTTAGAAATTTGAATAATACTTTTGTTTTATCTCTTCCAAAGTATAGATCATGACTGCATGTTTACTAGGATGTAATGATAAGTAACATTTTAAATATTCTGAAATACTAAAGTTAAAAAAATAAAATATACATTTATATCTAGTAGTTCCGGTTTTTCTCTTTAGGCTTTCAAGCCTGCTTGCAGAAGGCCTTCAGCTGCTTAACAAAAGATATGGCTATTATATCAGAGACCCTTTCTCACAAAGTTGTTATTAATGAAAATAGAATTTTTTATGTAATTCCACTCAGACTGACATTGGTGAGGTGTTTTTATAGTATATTTTTTAAACAGGGTCTCAGATATTCATTTATAAAAAGAACAGGAATACTTGTGTCACCTTAGAGACTATCAAATTTATTTGAGCTTAAGCTTTTGTGTGCTACCGCCTACTTCATCAGATGCATAGAATGGAACGTATAGTAAGAAAATATATATACATACAGAGAACATGAAAAGGTGGAAGTAGCCATACCAACTGTAAGAGGCTAATTAATTAAGATGAGCTATTAGCAGGAGAAGAAAAAAAACTTTTGTAGTGATAATCAAGATGGCCCATTTTAGACAGTTGACAAGAAGGTGTGAGGATACTTAACATGGGAAAATAGATTCAATAACTTGATAATCACCACAAAAAAAATTTTTTTCTCCGGCTCCACCTTTTCATGTTCTCTGTATGTATTTATATCTTCTTACTATATGTTCCATTCTATGCATCTGATGAAGTGGGCTGTAGCCCACGAAAGGTTATGCTCAAATAAATTTGTTAGTCTCTAAGGTGCCACAAGTACTCCTGTTCTTTTTGCGGATACAAACTAACACGGCTGCTCTGGGTTAAAGAACTGTATGTCCACTGGTGTTTTAAGATTGTGTTGTTGGAATGAAGTGCCCTAGAAAGTGGGAAATGGGTTTCAGATATAGGATAAATATATTATAAATGTCTTTTTGACTACATTACATTAAAAATAATATTTTGGAATGCTTAGGGAATAGGATGGACAGAGCATATTGCAATGCCATTGTATAAATCAGTGGTATACCCTTAGCTGGAGTAATGTGATTAGTTCTAGTCACCTTATTTAAGACAAGAGAGAGCAGAAACCAGGGTGGATTGCTTTGACAGTGAGTTAGGTCACCAATCTTAATAATGATTTAAATCAGCAAGCAGGAAGCCTGGATTTAAATAATAGATTATGATTGAGTCTTGCATTTGTACTTTTTAGTTATTTTCCTAGCGAGAGGTTGATTTCATTGGTTGGTAACTATTAAAGTATGTTGATTGGCAACTAAATATAGCCTTTACACTAAATTTGGTGCTTCTTTCTGCTAACTAGGAGGGTGCACTACATCTATACATGTTTTTAAGCAGTTATATAGCTTACCTTACATTTATTCAGATTCTTAATTTTTTACATTTTTATGTTAGAAAATGGTGAATGATACATTTCCTGTTTACTAGATTATTAATTTATTTTTTATTGGAAATTCAAATTTAATAGTGCACAAAAACCAGCTTTTAAAAATTAAGTAGAACTACCTTAAATATGCTAGATACCTAAGAAATTTTTTTTAACAAAAATTTTATAAAAACATGTTTTGCATTTAAAACTAATTTATTAAATGAAGAAGGAATTGCCTGTAGTTAGTAAATTGAACTGATTGTTTCTGATTATCATGTCCTTCAAGTTTTTAGAACTAGTAGAATTTACCCTATTTCACCTAGTTTTTATTCATAGATTGGAAGAGGAAAACAAGCCTTCCTGGTTTTTTTTTGTTTTTGTTTTTTTTTTAAACTTCCAACTGGTTTATTAAGTTTGAATGAACTAGTTGAATTAACTGAAATAAAGAAAATATTCTCTCTGCACCAGCAGAGAAGGGTCTTGCTGTCAAAAACTGGTTCAGCACTTCAACAAACTCAAGTTCCAGGTGCTTAGCCAGTAATTTCCATGTGGTCGGGGGTTTGATTTTCTTTAAAACTTGACAGCAAATATGTACTGCTTAATATTATTTTTGTATTTAATTTAGATTATTTAAATAAGTGTTAGTAAGTATAGGGCTTAACATAGGTTGTCAATTTCAGATTTAATTTTAAATAAGGTTATTTAATTGGTTAATTGAATTTAAATTAAAAAATCTTATTTCAGTAAAAGAATCTGCTTTAATTTTTTTAAAATAAATCATTGATTTTTATCCACTGTGGCAGAAACAGAGGTGGCTCAAAGATGGGCAACAATATTATTAGAGGCATGGAAAAACTTCCATGTGAAGAGTGATTGAAAAGATTGGGTCTGGGACCTGAGGCCGCAAGTCAGGTATGCACTAAGTATATGGTTAAGTATATCCCTCTTCAAGAAAGCATGAACTTAAATTTAAACATCTGCTTAAATTCCCTAGACTTTAATTGGATTTAAGCATGTGCTTATATGCTTGGTGGATAGGGATGCTTTCCTGAATCTGGGCTTTAGAGAAGACACAAGTCAGAGGGAATACAATAAAGGTATACAAAATACTGAATGGTGTAGAGAAGGTAGATTAGGCAAATCTATTAATCCGTTCTCATAATATAAGAACAAAGGAATGTTAAATGAAACTGAAATGAAAGGCAGAAAATGTAAAAATTGATGAAAGAAAATACATTTTCACAGAATGCACAATTAGCTTGGAGGAATGCATTGTCACATGATCTCATGGAGGTCAAGATCTTAGAAGACTTCATAAACAGATTGGATGTTTATGTGGATAACAAGCATATCTAGAATTAGAGTAAGGATTTAAAAACAAGTTTTGGAAGGAATATAAACATTTATGCTTCAGGGCATAAGTCAGCCTCTAAGTAGTGTTGGTTAGGAAGAAACTTTCCGGGTAAATAAGGTATTCCATAGCAGCTTGTTGCAAAGTCTTGTTCCTTGTACTGAAGCCTCTTTTGCTAGCCAGGTTACTCCAGGGCCATTGGACTTATCCACTGTTGCACTTCCTATGGGGAAAAAATGTAAAAGAAAAAAAATAAAAACTATTCACCTTCTGAAATGTATTGTTTCCTTGATCCTGTGTTGTTCATCTTGGATGAATTAATTTCTGCATTTTCTGAGTTTTAAATCAAGATTGGGTTTTTTAACAAAAACCTTCTCTTCTTCAAACAGTAATTATTTTTGGGAAGTCCTATGGCCTGTGTCATACAAGAAGTCAAACTAGATGATCACAATGGTCCCTTCTGACCTTGGAATCTATGAATACAATAAATAGATGGTGCCTGCCCTAAAGAACTTGCAATCTAACTATAAAATGAAAGGCAACAGGTAGATATGGCAAACGGGCAGGGGAGCACAAGGTAACAATAATAAGCCAGTTATGTTTACTATACTTAGCAGTGATCATAGCCTACCAACTGCCTAACTGTTCTTATGTGTTTTAAAGGAATCACAGAATAGGTGGTTTTTAAGAGAAGAAGATATTGTAGGGACTTGGTGTTTGTTTGTTTTTTAAGAGGGAGCTCCTCCCATGCATAATAGGTTGCATGGCAGAAAGCATAAAAATACACATTGGAAAAGTTGACCGATGAACTGATAACGTTGGCAGAGCAAAAGCAGGGCTCACCAGCTGACCAGAACATAAGGGTTCCTAGAGTGGGGATAGTCAGTGAATGACCTTAAAAGTGGAGACAAGTAGTCTGGGCTTGCGCAGTGGGAAAGAGGGAGCCAGTGGAGGGATTCAGAGAAGGGGGTTAAGTGGTCAAAGTGATAAGCCAGAAAAATGATTCTTCATAAATGAAAAACAGATTAATTCCACAACGGATATAAAATACTAGATGTTTACATTGAAATATAATGGGCAAAATCCTGTGAAAATTTCTTGTTGAAAAACACACACAAAACTAGCTCATATTCCTTACAGATTAGTCATAGATTAGGGCTGCTAGATGTTACCACAAAAAATAGTAATAAATAACAGTAGAACTATTCTCAGCAAACAATTTGTTGTTTGAATTAACCCCTTTATCTGTTTGGAAATTGTCTGTGAGCATATCATGCCTCCTTCAGATTTGTTGGTTATTCAAAATTGTTCAAATATTTTTGTGTAATGTTCGCAAACTGTGAGTATTGTTTTGAATATTCAGTATCTCTTTGAGCTTTGTTTTTGGTCACGTAGGTCATATGGTATTTGAGTTCTCTGATCAGATGATGCATTTTTCTGTTTTTAAAATGAATCGCTTTCTGTCCTTGCTCTTTCTCTACTATATTCATACCCAATCCCACCACTAAAAGATGTTAAGGCACGCACTTCTAGCACAAATATGTGTTCTTGCAGGAGCAAGCATATTTTTACACGAACA